CATAAGACTTAAAGTATTATAAAAAGAAACAGACGTATATGCCTACATGTCTTTTTCGTCCTTATCACCTTTTTAACTAGCAATATTATATTATTACTATTATAGATATGTATAAGCCTGTGCAATTGCATGCATTTAAAGGTAAAAATAATAAAAATGTTCCATACACTTTTTAACTTAATTTATTTTGTTTAAAAAACATCACTTATTAAAGGTGCCATTAAACTCATACTTATTTTTCTATAAAATTAAACAAAAACATAAATACCAATTGAAATAAAACAAACCATAAAAGCTAAAATTATAAACCAATATTTTTTAAATAAATTAATTTCCTCATCTACGTCATGGTATTTTCTTTCCCTATTCTTTTTTTTTCCTTCAAACATTTTTTGGTACCTTTCCATTTCCTTTTGATTTTTAATTTCCTCTTCCTTTTTCTTTTTTTCATTTAATGCATCTTTTAACTTTTTTTCTTCAATTTTTTTTTGATGGCACATTTCGTCACAATTAACAATTGCCATATTATTTATAACTGTTTCACATTGAAATTCTTTTTTTAATCGTTTGCATTTACATGTAACTTTAATCTTTTTCTTACATAGTTCTGCATTTGGACAAGGACCGGAATGACAATTAGCCTTACATCTGTGACCACAATCATACTAAAAAATATTTTAAAATAGGTAATAGTATTTAATTAAAATGAACAGGGTCCGGCAACAGAATTGAACGGTTTTAAAAATGCTGCTATGGAAATACTCTTGATTTGATATATGTCAAATAGTGACAGACTTGTACCTTATTGCCGAAAGTTTCGTGGCTGCTATGGAAATACTACATATTGATTTAATATATGTCAAATAGTGACAGACTTGTTCCTTATTGCAGAAAGTTTCGTGTACAATGGCAATAAAAAATTGTGTGCAGAAATTGAGTCGATTGACTTTATCAATGGGATTTAGCCTCTGGACTGTCGGTTTTTTTGGATGGAGTTTTAAATCCAGATGTAACATTCGTCGCAAACTTCGGTCTGAAATGTGTAGAGCAATCGAGTGCCGCTCAAACGCTTCTCTGACTCTTCCAATATTTTCTTGTGTACAAACTGTACGAGTTCCAGCGGCAAATTTTGATTTTACACTGCCTTTTTCGTTAAAATCTCTTACCCATCTCAAAATGGCATTTTTTTATGGGACTTCAGCTCGCACTTGAAAATTATATTCACGACGAAAGCGTCTCTGCGTTTGTATACGAAGGACTGGGTCAGGGTAAACGAATTTACAGCAAAGATCCGTTGATTAACCGGCCAGTTTGACATTGCACACGAAACCTTCGGCAATAAGGTATAAGTCTGTCACTATTTCACATATACCAAAACAATAGTATTTCCATAGCAGCCTTTTCAAAACCGTTCAATTCTGATGCCGGACCCTGTATAATAAAATACAAACATTTTTGGGGCACTGATTTCCACAACTTTGCAGTTCCTCTCTTTTATCTAGTTTTAGCCAATCACTGCAATTTACATAGGGTTGAGTTAGGTTGCAATGACATTTGATTCTTAACATTTGACAACAGGGTGGACATGTTCCAGGATGACAATGTTTTGGACATTCATGGGTACAACCATCAGGTCTCTTCTTGGAACAGGGATTCTCACATCTTTCACAATTTAATCCCGCCTAAAATAATTCAATAAAATCTTTATTCCAGAAATATATTTTGTATGGTTAAGTTTAACTTTTTAAAATACAAAATTTAGTTACAAAAATATTCCCATATAAATATTTCTTTGCTACATAAGCCAAACGTTCGACGAAATTCGGATTTGCATTGCACGAAAGCTGTTAGTTTTCGTTTATTTGTAATTTTCTTTCCAATAAATGAATGTTAATATTACCGTATGCAAAATTATCCATTGATGTCATTAATTTTTACTTACTTGTAGCGAGTACCGCTCTTAATCTCGGAATGTCAGGGTGGGGCCCACCCGGTGGGCCGAAAAATAAAAAAACTAAAGTCTATTTAAATCCAAACTGGACTAAACAAAAACGCCCAGACGCGTGATAACTCGTTCCTATTGGTGGATTCTGATGGTGTAACTCGGATTGTGAGCGCTTATTGTGATTGTGAGCGCCCAGACGCGTGATAACTCGTTCCTATTGGTGGATTCTGATGGTGTAACTCGGATTGTGAGCGCTTATTGGTGGATTCGGAGGATTGTGTTTACATTTAGTCCAGCTTGGATTTGAATAGACTTTAGAAATTGGTTTTGGTAGGGTCAAAAAGTTGCCTTTTGGCCAAACAAAAATAATTTATATTTAAATTTTTTTGTTTTTTTGACGTCTTTTGCCCCCTACCAGAGCTCAAAAATTTGAAAAAAAATGAAAGTGAAAATTTTGAAATTTTGGTTTGGAATACAGCCCAATATTATGAGAGTGATTATGCAAAGATAATTTTTATTTACAATTTTTTTATGGTGATAAACATTTTGCCCCCTACCGAGCATCAAAGTATTACAAAAATCAGATTTTTTAAAAATTGTACATAATAGTTATTTCTGTATCAAGGCGTATTTTTTATCAGGAATGTGTAAATTATTTGCCGAGGCGAAAGCCGAGGCAAATAACCACGTGAGTAATAAAAAATGACTTTAATGCCGAGGTGCATATTAAATTTTATCCGAAATCACATTTAATAAAACAAATGTCATTTGATGATCAAATCAAATGTCATTTGAATGGAGGAAGTGTCTATGTATACTGTTTGTTGCGACGGTTATTATATATTTGCCCGCCGCGGCGATTTTTTAATCTAAACAACATTTTATGAAAGGGTCCAATCGACCTCCGCGACGGTGCTTTTTTTTAAATATTATTTAGTTGCTGCTGAGGAGCAGTAGACACATCTTAAAATGTATAATGGGTTGCATACAATACTCGTATTAAATCGGCAGTAAAGTTCTACTTTACTGTCGATTTCTTTTACTTTACTGCCGATTGTTGACTACTTTACTGCCGATTTCGGATAAAACTATTTTTTATATATTTCAATGGTATTTTAGTAGTGTATCTATAAAACCTTTATCTTTGCAAAAAACTACTATCTTTAAAACAATTTTTTTGTTAAAAAAAACAATAAATTGTACTAGGTACGGCTTTGTTCCTTCCATAAAACCACGCGCAGCGCACCAATTGGTACCAAGAGCCTTTGTATTGTTAATTTAATGGATTAATTACTACAATTTGGAAAATTTAGTCGAGGTGGGATGTGACGGCACAGTCGTAAATACGGGTCTGGAGTTAAAACAAAACTGGAGTAAAAATTGGGTTGCTCTTTACAATGGTTTATATGCCAACTTCATATGAACCATATGGTAACGAACTACCACTAAAACACCTCTTTAAACATCTGACGGCAAAAAACAGGCCCTGCCGCCTTTTTAGGTGTGTTAGGCAAGAAAATAGAGCAGTTCGAAAAACGGCGATAAAAAATGTATTTTTGGCGATAAACTGAGAAGTAAAGCTTTAAAACAATTACTTCTGAGAAATTACAAATAATAAAGAAAACTGACCAAAAGCGATTTCCATATTGTAAAGTTTTTAGAAAAACCAAAATTGCAAATTAACCAGACAATGTTTGAATTCAAGCAAAAACTTTTATTAAGAACTATCGGACCCGACAGACGTTGTCCTGCCCGAACGTTGGCTAGAACCGATTGTGAAGTTAGAAGTTTGATGAAAGCTACTGAAAGGTAGACTTATAAATGCTGATAAGACAAATTGTATTCTATTCAAAAAAAGTACAAGAAATTTAGCCAGTGCTAATATAAACCAAAATAGAACAAATTTTACATCTAAAACAAAATTTCTGGGTTTGAATATTGATGAACATGTAGACTGGTGTGTTCACACAAATTTCGTATGTAAAAAACTAAATGGAGTATCATATTCGCTGCGAGTGTTGAAAAGTTATCTGAATAAGTCCACTTATGATAATATATTTTTCAAACTTCAACTTCCAATCTCTGCTAAGGTATGGGATAATCTTCTGGGGAAGAAGTAAAAATGTTAAAAACGTTTTTGTCACACAAAAACTAGCAGTTAGAATTATAAATAATAAAAAAGTGATATGTCCTGCAGAGGTTTGTTTAAGTCTAGCAGGATTCTGACGGTTGCTGGGTTATGCTACTGATTTTTATGTTCAAAAACGAGCACTTGTTTGAGAAATGAAAATCTAGTCGGAAAAATAGAACGCATTGTTACATATGTCCCAGTCACAGATTAACCATCTATGAATAATGTATTATGTAGTTTAACAAGTTACCAGTCCTTCTGTTCAAAATTTTAATAGTTTTAAATTTAATGTTTTTAGTTATTTAGTTGAAATGGAGCCATATGATCTTAATGAATTTCTAGCATTTTAGCATATTGGTTTCCCGTTATATGTAATGTGTACAAATATTTAAAATATTTTGAAATAAGCAATATTATTATTAAACCATCCAGGGAACCACTCAAACACAAAAATGTCATTAAAATCGGCCCAGCCGTTTAGGAGGAGAACAGAAGATTTATTATTAAGGATGAACATTTCTTAAAAATTAAAAAAAAAATTGTCTTCGTAATCGCATCGTGGGCATACCGTATATATTTATTGCTTTAATTATAATTAGTACATAATAATCACCTTTACTTCATCTGGAGGTGCTTCTACAGTGTGGCAGAGTAGTTTGCAATTATGATTTTCACAATTAAGGATCCTTCCACATGGTCTTTGACAACTGGTAGGTCTAGACATGTGGCATGGCCATTCAATTGTCTCATGTCCTCCTAGACAAGTTACCAACACAGGTACCACACAGTCTGGGCAAGAAAGGGATGTTTTTACTTGCTGAGGCTTTTGTTGTTCCCAAGGCATTGATGCCTTTTGCCCTTCAATTTTTATTAAAACAGCAGAATGGCATTGTTTGGGACAAAAATGATTACAAGCTAATTTACTTTTATTACAAGTTTGTTTGCATGGTGGACAATCACCAAAATGACATCTATGTTTGTCCCTATTCTCATGGTGACAATCAGAGGGAGTTCTGTAAAGTAAGCATTTGAATATAATGTTTTAAGAGAGCAAAAACTAAAACTTACATGCAAAGTTTGGAGCATTTTGGTGGCTTTGTTTTGTTTTTTCTACCACAAGGAACTATCAGTTTAGTATAACCACATTTACAAGTAACTGTGTCTGTATTACTGCAAGGATAACATGGACCCCTGTGACAAATAGATAGACATTTATGGTTACCACAACTTAATGTTTTGCCACAAGGTTTTTCACAAGGGGGACAATTTCCATCACAGCACTGAAACAGGTTTTAATATCAATTAAATTATAAACACTTTTAGTATTGTAAAAAAAATTACCCTTCTATTACATGGATGTTTGTTGCAATCTCTAATGTTTTTACATTTTGTTTCACAGAAATATGGTTTAAAACATTGGACTTCTTTAGTATGCAATCCACAGCGGCATTGTTTCTTAACATTTTCTAAACACTAAAATATGAAAAATTAATATAATTTAAAATATTTAGGTATTTTTTTTTACTTGAAATTTTTATTTCGATTAAATATTTTAAGTGCAACGCTTAAAAGCGGTTTCATAGAGATGCGAAATACGAATATTCGCATTTCGCAAGTCCTATTTCATATAGATGCGAACTATTTTAGGGAAATTTTTTTCTCACTAGGTGATATTTGCCATAATTGGTTAACATTTTCTATTTGTTGTTTTATGTAAATTTATATTTTGTGTTTTTATCATGGATGAACAATTATACCACTGGCAATTATACCATTGGCGACGAAGGAGTGCAATTGCGCTTATTTATTGTTGAAACGAAGACAGAATTAAATAATGCGCATCACGACAAATTTGTGCGATTTTCGCAAAATATTGAATCAATTTCAAGATTCCCGCCCCCGAGATTTCAAATCTTGCGAATTCGTCAAAACGCTTTTCCCGCCAAATCAAATGGACCAATGAAAACATTTTTCGTATTTCGCATTTCGCATCATATTAACTAAATATAAACATCACTTTTTCCTGTAAAATTAACATCAATTTCACGTCATCCTTTTTTTATTCTACGCCAACGACGTTACCAACAAACGTGTTCTGTGACCTGTTAACAAAATTCTGTGTATATATTTTGCTGTGTTTTTATCTCAACACCATGTCGAAAACTGTAAGTACCTAATTATTTTCCAGAATGCCGGGTTTATACAACATTAATGTATGTCATGCAAATTTGCATGATATTCTAACCAAACTCTTATTTTTTGTGTTCTTCAGCTATATATAAAATCTGGCCAAATAGCTTTTAAATTAGCTAAAGGCCAATAATTTTGAAGAAGAAGAAGCTATATATAATACAAGGTGTCTCTAAACTTATTGGCATAAATTTAGGAAAATATTGAGCAAGTCAAAATAAGACGAAAACCCAAATAAATATTTTTCCTAATTACTTATGTTTCCAAGATACAGGGTGATAAAGTGTTACTTATCATATCAGTTTTTTTTAAATAACCTCTACTATGTTAGTCTTGGAAAGGTGATATTTTGCGAACAGTCACTTACTACACATAATAATATTTGTTTGAGTGAACACAGTGTCGTAGAAACGGGGGTTGCTTAAGGTGTCCCATACAAACTTTGAGGTTAGGTTTTTATAACATTTGATGCAATTTTTAGATTACTCAATTGACCATATGCAAGGAATGCGGTCGATGTTGCCAATGGTAAAAAAATAAAATTCCCTATTGGGAACATTCAATTATATTACGTTGGATAAACTGAAATTTTGAATTTCCCGCACAAACTGACATACATTCTAGGAGTTCCCAGAGATAAAGAAGGTAGTTCCAATGTTGTATAATAAATTAAGGTGCGAATTTCAAATGTGGGAGTTATTATTATTTATTATTATAAAAAAAAGATGGAAATTAATTTAGTTTGTGCGGGAAATTCAAATTTTCAATGTAGCCAACGTAATATAATTGAATGTTCCCAATAGGGAATTTTATTTTTTTACCATTGGCAACATCGACCGCATTCCTTGCATATGGTCAATTCGGCTACCATTAAAAAGGTGTACTTCGATAAAATAAACCGTTTGCGAGATATTCAACAATAAACTTAACTTTAGATTTAAACTCTTATTATACCCAATAATAAATAAAACAAATTGTAAGTCAAAATCATATGATAGCCTATCATTGATAGGTAACATATGTTATTTATATCTGTCATTTATTTTGGTAAGTAATTATTAATACTCATAAAAACTTTTCTTAATTTTTTTTATTGTGGTTGATATAATAACTATAGTTATCTTAAAAATAACGTGATTTTAATGTTATAGCAACATCATATTGATTTCATCATTATACCCCGAAACTAGCGATCACGTCATTTATTGTAGTTAGTAATTATTAATATACCTTAGAACTCTATAATGACAAGTTTTACTGTGGTTATAACCATAATAAAACTTGTCATTATTAACCTTAAAAGATTTTATTTTTGGTACTAAAAAACTGCTTACCTAAATAATTTTAGGATTTTTGGTATGAACTAGAATTCTTGAAAAATTTTGTCTAAATATAGATCATATTCTTTTTAATTTCCTAGTAGGCACTTTTAAAACTCAAAGCTCCTTTCTTTGGAGAGCATCACTAATATTTACAGAATTTTCCCAAATAAAATATTTTTATTTTCGATGTGTCTACAGTCGTGATGCAGGACTTAAGTTAAGTAATTGTTACGATAAAACTAAAACTTAGCAACCAACCCAACACTTTTCAACAAAGGAATATTCATTTAATTACATATTAAATTATATTACCGTTGCAAAATGATAATGAGGAAGGGTAAATGAATACATTAGATGCACAACTCTGTATTTGCAGGATAAGTGATTTTGCATGATTTCTTATTCACAAAAGTAAAACCTTTAAAATTAAGAAGTTTAGTAAATAATTGAAATTAAAAGATTTAAAAACATAGTTTTGCATCTTACTCGTTCAAAGACCAAGTTTTGCAAGTGAAAAGTGCAAATACCAAAAAATAACGATTAATCAGGTGATTGTTATACAGCAAATACCGAGTTTTGCATTTGCGTTAAGTTAATAAATGTATTTTATTTTACAAATATTAACTTATTCATGGTTTACTTAGGTATGCTGTGGGCAGTGCAGTTATGTACATAAATATGATAAAATATATAGTTTTTAAAAATTTGCAAAAACCGAGTTTTGCATTTAATCTACTCAAATAATCTAAAATATCAATGTAAAATTAAATATTAATGCTATTTAATGCCACATTGTATTATTTCGTTATGTAAATTTATAAAATAAAAATAATAAAGTTGTGAAAGCGCCAAGTATCAAAGCCGGTACCGCTTGCTTGTTAAGAAATTGCCCTACCATTTGAGATACCCAAATTAACATCAATTTCTGGTCGGGGAATAATACCGATTTACAGTGTGTGACGTCAAATTATGAGGTCAATCAGGATCGAACTTAATTCCCGCCTCGGGACACAACGTTTTATTTAACACCAATGAGTGACCAAGGACAAAAAAAAATTTGAAATTATTTTTGGCATACAAATAAGAAATAACCTTAACTATTAAGGAAAAACTAAAAAGTAGTTTTATTAATAAAACTCCCCCTATCGCTTGGTATGGTGTTTGTGCGCCATTTTATAAAAGTATATTTCCCTAACTTATTCTGGTTTTCCATTTAGTTTTTTTTAATTTCCCCTGACTATGGGGGGGGTTGCAATGAATTAAATTGGTAATTTTCTTGGAGGAATGTAATTTATTTAAAACCTAAAGAAATTATAAGTTTTGGGTCCGCATTGTTAGTTAACTACACTCAAGACAATAAATTTTATGTTGTCGATGACAACTTGTTGTAAAATCTGGCAAAAAATAAATAGTATTAAATTAAATTACTAATAATTCCGTGACCAGAAAAAAATCCTGGCTTCCCTGAATTTTCTCAAATAAAATAAATTCCATGATAATTCCCGGTTTTCCAGAAAGCGCCCTCCCTGCCCTTTAAGTAAACAGGTTTATCCATAAATATTGAAAAACAATTTAGGATGAGATTTCTTGCACAAAAAGAAAAAACTTATTAAACCTTTAAAGTAAACGTGTTGTTTCTGAGATTCAGTGGAAATATTTTAAAATATATTTTCCCAATATCTGGAAAAAACCTAATTTAATTTTTTTTACCATATGTGTTGGCTTAATTAATTTAATTCAGTGGCGTTGCATGTTTGCTGTTAATTTTAAGAAGAAATATGACACGCCACTGCTTTTATTTTTGTTTTGATATTTGTTTCAGATGAAACATTGTTTTATTAACCTTTTTGCATCTGTTCCATTTTTGTATCTCACTTCGTTTTTGAGAAAAAGAAATTTCTCTTCACACTTCTGAATGCAAGACACTCGCAAGGACTTGCATTGCAAAGGCACAAGTCTTGCGCAAGATAAACATTGCCAAGAATGTAAATTAGTCAAAATATTAAAATTAAGTAAACAAAAGAAAACTATACAACGTTTAAAGTTAATATAATATATTTAATTGTTAACAATTGTTATTTATAAAATAACAAATACCTACAAAAACATGAGAATTGCGTCGTGTAGTGCGACTATAATGCAAGTTAAAAATACACAATTAAGAAAAACCCTATATTTTCATTATTAAAAATTGCATACAAAGTTGCATTTTTTTAATAATGAAAAATACAGCATTTTTCTCGGAAGTAAAAATTTTCCGGAAACTAGGTAATTTAATCTTATTTAATCCCATCTTAAATTTTTAGTTTAGGTTGTGACCATTATTTTACAAATAATTTTGAAAAATATTAAATCATAAATATTACAAAAAAATACTTACAGTTCCACACTTATCTTTGTGACATCTTTGGTTGCAAGTGTGAGCTCCACAATCTAATATTTTTTCACAAGTATCCTTACATGTTGGTGTTTCTTCTGTGCAGGGCAGTTGGTACTTAGATTTACCACAAGGACAGGATCTTTGCTTTGTGAATTCACAAACATCACATACTCCAGCATGGCACACCTCTGGACATTTGTGGTGGCCACATTCTAATGGTTTATTACAAACCTAAAACAACATATCAACGCTTTCAACGCAGGACCTCGTAAATGTTATTGAAAGTGAAAAACCTCGCTGACGATCATATTTTTTAGCGAAGTAGGTACTTTTTTGTATTAATAAAATGAGGTAATAAATAACTATTTTCCAGAGTATACAGTTTATCAACAGATGGAGAATGTTTTTCATCTGTAGAAAAATAAATTTCTATAAACATGTCACTTATGAGGTTGAAGCTGACCTTTTGTATAAATGGTTATTTTTTTAGGTAGGCATTTTGCGTTGGAAGTTAGGTAAAAAAATGGTTATCTGTGTATCTTAAAAGATTACCTTAATAAAATATAAATTGATATGTAAAAAGGAAGATACTTCAAAAATAAGTATCAGGAATTTTTATGGTGAACTTAATTTAAAACCCAACCTTAAATTTTAGTGTACCTAATAGTGATGTATACCGAAAAAGTTTTTTGTACCATGTTTTTTTGGAAAAAAATGCGTTTTTTACTTTATATTATTGAACGCAGATATCAAAGCGATCTGTAACTTATTATACTTGGGTATTTGTAAGAAAAGGGTATTCCCCTGGAAATATTGGGGGCAGATAATGGCAGAAGATGAGTAGTTTTCTTTATTGTGCGTTTTAAATTTATCTAGAGGAAGAAAACATTGTTTTGCTGGGAACATAAGCTCAAAATCCCGTATTTTGCAAAAGTTAACAGTACCAAAAATTAAAAGTGCTAAGTTGTCAAACGACAATTTCTAAATCTTACATTTTTCTTATATTGGGAAGAATATTGGTCCTTGGAGTTTGTATGCTACTATGTTGTCTTTAAGACACTCTGCATGGCATAAAAAACAAAAATACAAACGCATTTTTTTATAACTTTTTCATATCACTAGGTCTTAACATTAATTATTCACCCTATATTGTCTTGATCCTTTCAAGAAAAAAAAAACTTAAAAAATATAAAATAATTACTTTTTCACATTGCCATAATGGTGATGCACAATCCCGAAGTTTTTGCTGTGCTTTACACATACATTTTTGTATGCTCTTTTTGGGGCATGCCTTACAGTCACCTGAATGACATACATCTGCACATGTGTGTTTTTCACAAGATAACAATTTTCCACATTTGTTGTTACATGACCATTCTTTTTTACTGCACCTTTGAGTTCTTGGTGGTTGAGAACCACAAAAGCATGTTACATTAACAGTAACAGGACATGGAGGGCAAGGTCCTAAAATTAATTTAGATACTTGTTTTTAAATTGAATTAATACAGGTTGCATTACCTTACCTGGATGACAAAGTAATAAGCACTGATGTCCACACTTTGGAACAAGATCTTTTTTGCATATTTCTCCACAGGAATGTGGCACTAAATATTGTTGGAATTTGGGTTTTGTCACTTTTTTACAGAAACAAAAATAATTAGCAGGAATTTCATCAGGAGAATAAACATATCGACATTTGGGGCAACCCCAAGAAATTTTGTTTTGGCACACTAATATTGGGCCCTCCTGAGTTTGTTTTTGATAAATTATTGTGTCCTTTGCCCATCTTTGTATACACAAAAGATGAAAGTATCCATAACAATTTAAACAGCTCCAAATCTAAAAATATTTAAAAACATACATTTAAGGTTATATAAATACAGAAAAAACAACCTCATCATCTCTTTTTACTTTGGAGATACAAATCAAGCATGTAGCTGCTCCTGACAAATAGGATTGTTCTAGAAAAGCTTGTGTCCTTTCTAGTTGTTCATCACATCCACCATATTGTGTATAATTCTTTAAAATTGAACCTAAAAATATATAATATGCAGTATGTTATAACACATAAGGTGTATTATATGTATGTATACCTATTACATTATTAACTTCCAGTTCTTCCTCATCAGAAGAGGACTCGTAATCTTGTACATGTTTTTGTACAGCTGCCTGAAGTTTTTTATGTGCCTCCTTAAATTTTACTTCTGCAGACCTCTGTTCAAAAGTTGGAGATTTTTGTAAATTAAAACTTTGGCTTTTAGTTGATGTTTTCTTCATATTCCATGGATTAGGTTTCTTTGGTTTATTCATTTTGAACTAGATGAAAAATGTGTGCATTAAATATTATACCTAATAATACCCCATTTTATGCCGAAAATGTTGAGGTTTTTGACCACCTGTCTGTGTTACAACAGAACCATAAATTAACCCTTTTTCTATGAATTAACCTTCTTTATCTCTGGCTGACAGTTTAAACGTCAAATACTCCAACGCAATATTCTGTCACAGAACGATCGTGTTGAGTCGACACCGTTGACATAGGTTACATTGTTGCCAGTTGTTAAATTACTCTTCTACAACTGTTGTAGGTTTGGTTAAGCCTGATTTATAGATTGTCTTACTTCCTTCCTCCCGTAAAAGATGAACAATACAAAAACCGTAGGGTAATTCCATTTATTAGCCACCAATGAGTGCACCTTATATCCTCTAATTTTATTTCTTTTTTAACTGTAAATAGACAAGGAGCCAATAAGTAAAAAAACTCACCTTTTCTTTTCTCCCCCCTTCACCTATTTATACAGGGCCATGCAAAAGTTACTGTGCACACTTAACTTTAAAAAATTGTACTTCTTTTGCTAATAAAGCTATCGACATTAAACAAACTGTTAATTGTTAAGAAAATATTTCTCTTTTAAACCATATAGGACACATTTAGTTATTGATGCCCTAAATGGTCTTTGGGAATTTTTTTAAAAATGCATTTTTTTGTCAAAATTGTCTAATTTTATAAATTCATATATTAATTCTTAGAACAACTTGCCAGCAAAATTTTTTTAATGTGGTTTGTTACCAAAGATCTTACTCTTTATAAAAGCAATGAAAACATTTTCAAATACTGGCTACCCAGGCAACACAGTGACGTGAATATCACGTTTAATTTACGTCTACGGTGACGTCGAAGTCACCAACTTAGAAACGTCTTATCGTCGTAAAATTGACGACAATATGTCACAGCGATTTCACGTGTAAAATCACGTAATATTACGTAATTATTTACGTAATAATCACGTACTATTTCTTGAATAATATATGATTAGGTCATACACTGATAAAAATAATTACCGATACTGATATCAGATATTTTAATGCGAAATGTGCTTTTGTCAAATTTAAAAAAACAAAAAATTTTTAATTGTTTTTGAATTTTAAGAAATAAATAGGTAAACCCTACTATATATAGTATATATATACTACTATAGTAGATATATATTTAGTAAATAATTAATACTCAAAATAAATGTATGTAAAAAAGTAGAATAACAAAAAATTGTTAGTTAATCTTAGCAGAAACACATATGTATGTATGGCATTAAAATATCGGATATAAGAATAAATAATTATTTTTACTAGTGCATAAAGGGCTTTTGGTTTAATAATTAATAAAACATGTTTTAAGTTGCTCAAAACATTTATTATAAAATCAAACACATTAAATTTTAAGACAGATGACAGGTCAATATTTTAGGAGCTTATGTAGGTACTTCATTTAGGTGTTATGACTTCGTTACGGAATATACTGAGTAATTAAAACATTAATAAACAAACAAAAATTGACCTACCTTACACAGCCAAAGTATTATCAGTATAAATGGTTTGTTCTTTGTATAAATACCACAGATTATAAAAGTTGGACGCTTGAATCAACCATATTGTTTTTTAGGAATAAACGTTCCCTCGCTTTGTAAGTAGTGTCAAAGAGAAACAGGGTTGCCAGGTGTAAAAATTAATATTATCGAAGAGGGTTGACAAAATGATCAAATTTACAGAAAATTATATAAAATTATCAAAACAAAAATTGTATAAAAACAAGCAAAACTACGCGGCGGATTAAATTATGTTACAATTATCGATTATTATTTAAATTTTACTATTTTAAAAAAGAAAATTATAAAACATCTGGCAACACTGTAGATAAATAATTTTACTAAAATTAAAATTGTGATTGTCAACTGCAGTAACATGTTAATTTCTTATTTTGTGATGAAATGATAAAGGATTTAAAAATCGCGAATTTGTTTTAAAAAATCCATTAATGGATCAATAATTATTAATCTATCTTAATTAGTTTAAAACCACGTTGATTCTCCGTCGAAATAACTTAAATTAAATAAAAATAATAATTTTTGTTTTTAAAAATATTCCAACTTTTTGTCGGCCCATTAAAACGGGCCAACTGTTCCTTATTAATTATCACTATATTTTCATATTTTCTTAAAAATTTCGTCATCTGTTCACGTGATATTGACGTCATTTATTGGTTATCATCGACCTAAGTTAATAATTGGTCGTGTTTTGGTGAATTTTGAGACGTCGAAAAATGGTTGAAATGTAACTTCGACCAAATTCGACCCAATTCGTCGACGATTCTACGTGATTTCTACGACCCTGTGTTGCCCCTTACGGAAAAACACTGTTAACACTGCACAACATTATGCAACACTACTTTTGAATAATGTTTTCGTTAAAAGTGTTACATAGTGTGACCAGTGTTGTTTAGTGTGGCCAGTGTTGTTTAGTGTGACCAGTGTTGTTTAGTGTGACTATTGTTGTATAGTGTGATTAGTGTTGCAGTGTTAATAGACCTAGCCCATAAATCGGATTTTTTGGATAGCGCGTGCGTGAAAAAACGCGGCAGTCTTTTTTATTAGAATTCTAATGAAGAAAGAGACTGTCGCCCTTTTTAACGCACCCCCTATCCTTTAGTTATTTAATTAAAATTAATTGGAAATTCCAATTTTCAGTTGAAACTTAAATTTATCAGATAAACACTTATATATATATGAACACTACACAAAACTGCTTATTACAGCAACATTAATCACTTTAACACTATGGGCAAGTCGTTAACACTGTTGGAACACCATGAACACTATGCAACACTCTTTATCACTGTGCAACATTACAACAACACTAGTGCAACACTATGGTACAAGTCGTTAACACTGTTGGCACATTATTAAAATCGTCAGTAGTGTTGTACAGTGTTTAATAGTGTTTAATACTGTTGAACAGTGTTTTTCCGTAAGGGTGCCTGGGTAAGAGTTCAAAAAAATATAATAAAAATTCATGTTTTCGAAAAATCACTATTTTTAGCCATTTCATTGTTTAAAAAGGCTATGTTTGAGTGAGTTGATTTAAACCAATTTATGCTTACCATCACATGCACTTACCATCACATGCACTTATTAGCCTTCAATATATATATATATATATTGCAAAATACACAACAATTTTATTCATGGTTATAACCATGAATAAAATTGTTGTGTATTTTGCTTTTAACTGGGCTGTGGCTGTATCATCTACAGCCCAGCTATAAGCAAAATCACAATATGCCCACCTGACTAAATCCATAATATGGATTATAATATTATTAATTTTATTATTATAATTTGGATTATATTAATATAAATCCATAATAAAACATATGTTAAATATTAATTTTATAAAAAAATATATATTATATTAAATATATATTTTATAAAAAAACTCGGTAGCAAGACTTGAATTGAGTTCTAATTCGCAAGAGACCATTAAGTATTAACATTTTGTTTTAATAATTAAAATATTTTTAAGATATTGAAATTTTTACATATTCATAAAAACTATAATTATAACCTATAGCTATAGGTATATAGTATACTACTACTCTAAACATATTAATTTTTTACCTTTTGTAAATAAACAAAAACTAAAATAATAAATTATTAAATTGTGCATAATTTCCTAAAACCGGTTTACACACCAATTTCTGTCATTTAAAAGTGTCCAAAAATGGATTGTTCCGTTGGAAAATTAATTAATGAAAAATGCCATAAATAGTTATTTATGTATCAAGGCAGTAAAGTCGTAATTATTTGCCGAGGCGAAAGCCGAGGCAAATAACCACGTGAGGGATAAAAAATGACTTTAATGCCGAGGTCACCTCGGCGAGGTGCATACTAAATTTTATCCGAAATCACATTTAATAATATATTATTAAATGTGATTTCGGATAAAATACTATACTAATAATTAATATTGATGATTAAATCAAATGTCATTTGATGATCAAATCAAATGACATTTGATTTAATCATCAATATTAATTATTAGTATAGTATTTTATCCGCGACGGTTATTATATATTTCCCGCCGCGGCGATTTTTTAATCTAATTAATAAAATTAACTTATTATTTTTATTAAAAAAGTAAAGTTCTACTTTACTGCCGATTGTTGACTACTTTACTGCTGATTTCGGATAAAAATATTTTTCGCGATTTTCCAAGATTGAATCTCTTACCAAGGAGGAAAAGGTTTAGAATGGCGAGTGGATGCCATTGTAACCGATATTTATACGTAGGTATCACAAATTAAAGTATCTAGATTATTTTACCAAAATTTTTGGTGAAGTCTGCTGCGATCCATTTAAACGCCATAAGTCGTTAATTTATTCCTCGAGGATCTTGATAGACATTATATATATATATATATTTTTTTTATGTATCATAAGAAAATTGTCCGATTCACATCCCAGTCAGCACATGGATGTCCCAAGGACGTTCTACGGATGTCATCCTTGGATGCTCTGGACCTCCCAGGGCTGTCCTACAATTTCCCATGGACCTCCATGGGACGTCCATGGACTTCCAAATGGTGCACTTTTGTATGTCCAGAGACCGTCCCACTGAGGGTCAAAATTGACCTTATATGGATGTAATTGGCCCTTATGTGGATGTTTAAATAAAACCCATAAAATATGTAAAAATATCTTTATTTTTGTGAAAAAGTAGATAACTGATTAAAATTTAAAAAAAACTGATAAAAACTGTAAAATAAATTATTGTACTTATAAATTTCCACTTTTTGACCTTCTTTGAACTTTATTTCCATTTCGGCCTTTGCAATGTTTGAGCCATGATTTTATCGCCATTTCAACATTTAGCAGCTTTTTTACTGCAGCTGGAATCATATTATTTTGGTGAAAAAATACATACAAATTGATAAACTAACTGATTACAGCCTGTTAAATACTTAAATTTTGAAAACTTTTCTTTTCATTTCTCTTTCCTTCAAAGTTATTGTGAGGCATCTTTTTACTGCTTCATAGGGTTTCTACCCTCCAGTATTATTTATATAAGAAGTCCACCTATAAAAATTGTAAAGTTGGTAGCAAACATTACATATACTTACCCAGACCGCAAAATCACATTCCCTGCACAT